AATCTGTCAAACTAATTCAATTAGACAATGTTTTTCTTTAACTTTGGTTTTCCTAATTTCTTCCAGAAATTTCTGGGTATCAACATCACGTCACTTCCCATATCTTGTTGCATGTCCAATAAAACATTATTGATTTAAATTGTTAATAGCCCTTTCTCATTTGTTTTTTTCAATGAAAAAATGTCCATATTTATTTCCTTTTCATTTTGTTGGACAGTTGCTATGTTTTTCTTTTTAGATTTACACATACATTTTAAATGATTCATTTTGAAACACTTTTCATATCTTTTTTACATAGGTGACATTTTTTTTCTCTTTGATGTTGATAACAACAAAAAGTACACATTATTCTGTCTTTTGTTTTTATTGCGTATGTGTCCATTTCCTCTACCAGATCTGTAATTTTTGTTCTATTAAATTTTTTAATCAATTCTTGTTGCTGAACAAATTCAACACACTGTTCTAGTGACAACTTTCCCAGTTGTAAATGCATTAAAGTCATTTGCTGATATTCCTCATTTTGAAGGCTGTTTACCAATTTCAGTTGGATTAAATTCTCTTCAATTGACTGGTTTTCCACTCCCAGTTTCTCAAATTCACAATATTTAGCGACCTGTTTCAAACAAAGAATATATTCAATAACTAGCTCATTCACTTTTTGAGAAATGCTTATGAACTTAGCTTTCTCAGCATTCACCAGTTTTTTCTTGGGTACTATATTTCTCACTATTAGTTAACTTATATTGTTATACATCATTTCCTCCAACTATCCCGAGTGTGTAATTGCTGATAGTTTTATAATAGCCTCACAATCAGCAGTTGCCAAGAAAAGATCAGTTATCTAGTTTTATCCCACAACTGATTTCAAATCCTTTGGCTTTTTTGTTCTAGCTTTAGCTACTAATATCCTCAGCCACACTTGTGCGTACTCATAATTATCCAATGATAATTGTTTGCTCGATTCTTTAGATATTGGTAGTATAGTGTAGTGTTACTGACTCACAGGAAGTAGTATGCACTCAACTGCTCATGGGTAATAGCCATAGCTATTTATAGTCTTTGTGACTTCCTAAATGAGTTACCTCACATACAGATTTGGAAAAATTATCTTTTCAATTTGTCCCTTAATTTGGGTTATCATAGCCAGGACACTGTCCCAGTTTGAAGGGTCTCTTCCTGTGATATAAGCTATTATTTTTGTGTGTTAGCACTGAAACTTAAGAAGTATTGAGTTTTGAAATTACTCTATAATGCAAGAAAATTAAACCTATAATAAAAATTGAAAACTGAAATTATGGTAAGAATGTGTGTGTGTGTGTGTGTGTATGTATAGATTGTTGTCTGGTATTTACCTGGTTAGGGCATGTTGAGTAACTGGTTGAAGCATGAACACTGGACATCAAGTCATTCGCCACACTTTGTGAGGGATTGTCCTGGAGGTACAGGTGGCAGTCTTAGTAGTCAGTTAGAGGTTGAAAATGGGATTCTGAATTCAGTCATCCTACTAGTTAAGTAAAAGGATATGGGAAGCCAAGTCCATAATCTTTTCTAATCAGGCCCCAGCTATTTTTCCATTTCTTTTTTCAATAATTATACAAATTTTACCTTTGGTCTTATTTCCGTTTGGTATTGATATTTCTATACTGCATACTTAATAGTGAATGGATTGGTTTTGACAAAGCAAGAAGAGAGTAGAAATATTGATTTTACAACTAATTTTCATTTGCCTTTATATATCTGACTGATTTCAGTTGATATTGTTATACTCTACTGCAAATTAGATCTCATTCTGATATCCTCCAGATGTGAGTGCTAAGAAAGCAAAACCCAAAATAAAAAAAATTGTTTTTTGTGCATCCAAACACCACATCCAGGCCATAAAACAAATCCTTGCAAAAATCTAAGATACAAATTAAAGGAAGTTAGATTTGCTGCTTCACTAATCTACCCCAGGCCTCTCTCAATGTAACCATCATGACATTGGTCAACCAAACTGACAAATCTGTCAACTTTGTGCCTTACCAATACTCACCTTCCTTCAAAATCTCCTTCCTTACACATCTGCTGTAATGGCAACTAAAGAACCATATATCAACACTTTTGTTATCTTTTCACAACACCTCACATGCAGATTATTTCTGTTTTCATTTGTTCTTCCATCCAACCTGAATCCAAAATCAACAGAGACTTTTCTGCTTGATCAAGCTTCACTAATCAATTCCAGGCCTCTCTTGTTATAATCATCATGACCTTGATCAACAGATCCACCAAACACATCAACTCCAGACCTTACCAACTCTGTTTGCATTCAAAATCACCACATCTCACCCATGCAGAGACATTCTGCTCACATCTGCTGTGTTGGTAAATACAAAAGAATTTTATATTTACAATTTTTGTCCTCTTTTCTCACCAGCAGTATTATTTTGCTTGTTCTCCCATGCTAACATATATGTGTTTATAACAATATCAAAAGTGATAGACTTCAAATTTGGAGGAGAGATGGCATCTACTTGCATCTGCAATGTAACAGAGAACCAGCAATGCCTACTGGTATCATGAAGTATTCTTGGTGTGTTCTGGATTAGGGGTAATTAATCTGTGGCCCCAAAACCATGTTTGAAACCAAGGTCATCACCTGATGAGTTTGTTGGGGGTGCTGATGTTGTTGTTGCAGCAGTAGTTGTATGAATTTTATGCATAAATGTATTTTTCTTTTTATAGCTGGAGATGTTGCTTTTCAATGATCACTCCCTTAAACCTAGATCCCATTGTGCCAGGAGACATTTTTGTGGTGAATGCACACTGGTACAGACACAAAAGAGGCCCTGGATCACATGTGGACATGTATTTCAACACCAGTTACATTTGGGTTTTCACTGCTAGCAGCAGGACAGCTTGGCATGTCTAGATATTGGCCTCTCTGCAACTGGTCAAGATACTGGTCTTTGAAAGTTGCTGCATGCTATGGGAAAACCAGCAGTTGGCAGTTAGCAAGACATGGTGTCTTGTGAAGTTGGTCCTGTGGGCACTTTGTTCCTCAAGTTGCTGTGATTTCCAAGGTATTGTCATTTTTATTAACTCCTGTCTCTTCCTCTCTCTGCCTATTATCCCCGTAGTTGTTTGGGATAACAATCAGTTAGGTGTTTCTCCCACTTTCAACACACTCTTTGATTACATTACAACATTTTATGATTGCATTTACCCATTATTTCTGATCTTTTATTTATCAACTTCTTAAAGCTTTTGAACAGTGCAGTGGTTAATTTTCCTTCCTGACACAACCTACTAAAATTTAGCACTTGTTGCATAATTTCATTATACCTTTTTTTATTATCAAATTTTTATATTTTTCTTTGATCTTAAATATATACTTAGACAATGTAGTACTGTTCTTATACCTGGCTGTCTCCATTGATATCTTATGGTTATAAAAATCTGTTTGAAGAGTCTCTCTGTTGAACCAACACATGCTTTGTTTTGGCAGCCTTCACTTTTCATTGTTTCCTGATGTACAATTTTTACCTGACAGTTTCTATTTTGAGGGCAAACATCTACATTTCTACAGTTGCAAACTTGTTATTTTTTTCATTTAATACTTCTCTATTATGCTTCTTTATCAGTTTTTCCATGTTAGGCATGAAGCTATAACTCAGCTTTATTATATTTCTATTTAAAATTTTATGCTTAAATTTTTTTTGAGAGTTCTGATTCTTTTGGAAAATATATTTTCTATAATTTCACAAATTTACATCCTATTTTAGTTTTCACTGCTATATTAAATGGCAATATGAACCAGATGATATTTACCCGTCTATTTTTTTTTTCTTTTTTGTTTGTTATGTTTTCTTTATATATTAATTGTATGTTCCTTGTTTTTTAATGGTGTTTCATATTGCTCTTTAATTTCTTCAAGAATCTCAACATATTTGTTGATAGTCTATACTAACCTTTCAGGAATTTATTGAATTACATTCCTGGGACATAGCATAGTTTTGTTTATTTTTATCAATCTGCTTCCTAGATTAAATTTCATGCCTAGGTATTCTACATTTCTCAAGTTTGCTTCTCTCTCTCTCTCTTCATATATATATATATATATGTACACACACACACAGAAGAAGTAGTGAGTTTAATGTTTAAATGGCAAATATGTAATACTACTAATATAATTAAAAATTAATTAGATTTCTTATGAATATTTAGTAGTAAATTTATTTTTATAAGTAGGCAGCAGAGAGGAAGTGGAGGAAATATTTTGACTTAAGCAACACAAGGTTATAGCATCTTAAATAAGTGACTGATATAGTAACTGGATAATATATCAAGGAGTGTGTAGCAGTTCTTTATTACTAGTCATTATAAAAATCATGTCTATAAAAATTATCAGTTTAGTGATCATCAAGTTAGTTCATAATTAAAAAATATAATTCTACTCCTTTGTAATTAGATTATCTATGTACTATTCTGACTGTGTGTTTCTTTGTGCTGCATGCTAATCTGTTGAACAGTGAGTTCAATTCTTTTGAACCATGACTAAACTTCACTTAGCTATATCCTGTTTTAACAAAGATGAGCTGGTTGGAATGTATTCAACAATCAGTATTCAAAGCTTCCATAAAGGAGTGGAAACGATTAAAACCAACAAAAACAAATGGAGACAATCATTTGATGCTTCTACCATAAAATTTGTTGGAGGATGAATGATGTGTATTTCTCTGTCTCTTTTTTTCCCCACAATTATTTTTATAATTTTTCATAACTGTAATAATTTGTAGAAAATGTAATTTGATCCCTGTTTTATTCGAAATATTCTTATAAAATAACTCCTAGTAGTATTGTATTTTTTTAACATTTTTTTTAGTCAATTCTCTGAATTAATATTTTAAAAAAAAAAAAAAAAAAAATTCAATTCACTAGGAGGGATCTAGAGAACTCATGTGAATTAAGGGCGATAACTGTGTCACTTCCGACTATTAAGCTGGTGTTTTGCTGCTGTCATGGACGGGACCTACGACAATGCCCTAATGGGAATTCTGCAACAAGAAGGGCAGTTGGGGCCTTTCTTGGATGTTATTATGGGATTCCTTTATAGAAGGTAAACCCTTGGATCTATTTCAGAACACTGCTCCTGTGTTTTGCTATTACCAGCTGTACCAAACATTTAAAAAAGAAAGAAAATAAACGTACAAAAAACAATTATTTTTTTCTTTTTTTTTAAAAATCAACTCGTTTTTTATTATTATTTCCACTAGTAGAAGAAACAATTAAAACTGTGTAGTAAAATCTTCTAATCATTTATGTCGATTTACTGGTTATATGCATTTTAGCAGAATTAGTTTGCAAATTTGACTTATTTTAGGATCGAAATCGATGAGAAAGTAAATAAATGGGAAATCAAAATTCAGTTTTGATTTCTCGATTGAAAATTTTAAATTGATTAAAAAAAAGGTTCTCAAATTTAAAACAACTAATTACAAAATCATTTCATTATTTTTTTTTCTTGATTATTATTTTTATGATTCATTCATTGTAGCCAAATACAAAGAAGGTTTCCCCCCATTCTAGAATGTGTTGATCGAGTTGTTTCACTTCACTTACTGTTTCGTATAAGAAAAGCAAAACAATGTTTTTTCAGAAAATATTCATAAACAAAGCTTCTCTTCGAATATATTTATATTTATTGCACGATTAAACAATTTTAGTAAATATTTATTTACCTTCTTATCAATATTTCTGAAGCTTTAATTACCTACCTTTGAAAATGTTTAAAAACTTAAAATTTAAAAACAACAACGCAATAAAAGGCTCTTTTTGTCAAAAATGTCTTTTTAAAATCATTTAAAGTGTAATTTTCAAGATAGTTTCAAATTCCTTAATATGTTATTTTAGAGTCTGCCATAGAAAGTACATTTTTACAGTAAGCAAACGGACATATAATTTTACTTTCTTCAATTTGGATATTATTTGCTCAGGAAATTTAAACTCCTAGTCTTAAAGCTTTGACTTTGTAATCATTTATATTTTCTTATTAAAAATAATTTGAAAACTTTTTATTTTAGATGGATTACAATTCTAGTAGCATTATGAATAATATTGAATGTCGAAAAAATTTGTAAAGAGATATGTGTAGCCTCTTCACTCTTTTATTGATCTATTTATTCATGTAAATAAAATTCTACTGTTTCAAATGGTTTGTTATGTATTAAATCAGTTTAAAATGTATATTTGCTGTTTTACTAGTCACAATTTAGTGTTTTTAACAATCTAAGCAAGTATTTAAATACAGCAATTTCAGAAACTGTCTTCAAATTCTAAAACATATTTCTTTGATAATATAAAAATTCTATTTATGCAAGAATCAAAAATTGCTTTTATTTTCTTAAGTAATGACAATGTGTTTTTTAGTTTTTTTAGTATGAAACAAAGTAAAATATCTAATAGTTAATTTTATAATAATGAAACTGAATTACATATTACTGGAAAAATTGTAAATAAAAATAGAAAATAGTAATGATTACAGTTTGTCAGGGAGCATAAAACAAGTTATCTTTCTAAAGAGACGAAAAATTATCTCTTTGTGGGTAGTTTTCTAAACAACATACAAGTTTTTATAAATTGAATTTTAAATATCGTCTCACAAATTAAAGATTAAAAATAATCTAATGTCTAAGATTTTAGAGTCATCTTGTAATCTAGAAGCTGGATACAGTATAACTATTTTAATGAATGTTTGCAAATTTATTTGATTAATTTTTAGAAATGAATTTCAGTAATTGTTATTGAACAATCACTACTCAATATCTTTCCTATTTAACAACTAGTAAAAGACAAATAAGCCAAAATACTCAGCATAGTTGCAATATAAACCACATGTGGGCTCTGTGGGTGTTGAACAAACAAAATGTGCCTGAGCAGGGATTGACAAGCAGATAGGTGTGCTTGGAAACAAGTAGCTAGCCATTATTTCCTGGCATATATAACTCTCCTGAATTTCTCAGTTTGTAGATGCTTTTTCAGTAAAAATAAAATACTGCAGACTCTGAAAAAAGTCATTGTTATATAATTCTGTTGTTATTACTGGGTATTTCATTTTATAAACCATAAAATAATTTTTGGCTAAAAGACAAATTACTTTTTGAGTGCACAAATTCTAGTTATTTAATTTTGTGAAAGTATCTTAATAGATACAAAATTAACCTTGACAATGATGCTACTGTTTATTGTTTCTCTCGCAAGATTTATATTTTTACTGAGGGGGAAAATATAACTGAATATTGAGATTGAAAGTGGTAGATATAGAATTATCTACCACTTTCAATCTCAATATAACAATAACAACATTTTATGCCAAGGGACTGAGATTCTATTTCTGATACCTGTTTGATGATGTTAGACACTTAAGAAAAATATTCTTATCTATATTGAAAATAAAATTTGTAATAACTGCAATATTATTATGATATATGGACAAACAATTCAGTTATATTGGGGATTCATTCCATCAAATATCAAAGAAATGAAACCAGTTAGAACAAAATAAAATAAACACAAATTTTGAACAAGGCCCAAACAAATGCTTAAGAGATTTAACTTTTAAAGAGAATCCCTGATACAGGATTATATAATATTTACTGTGTTTAAAGTTGGTATATGAGAAAGCATCATTAACCAACAACTGAATGCCATCATAAATCACTGATTATGGCAAAGTAAAATGATATGCACTTTTAAATTCTATAAGACTATATAAAGCAAAAGTGTTGTTTTACTTCATTAGCCAATGCTATAGTTTTGGGTTGAAATGTTTTTTTGTATTCTCAAACACAAATTCTTTGTTATTTTAGGATTTTTCTTTTGTAGTTGATGCTTTATAAAATCCTCTTCATTTATTTATTATTTCAGAACAGATTTTTATCATATTTTACGGGACAAGTCTGACACAAAAGGATTTCATCCTGGAATGGCATTAAATATTCTCCTTAAAGTAAGTATAAACATTGTAAATGATTTTCATAAAGCAAATTTTTAAAAAAACTTTTAGTTGAGATTTATTGTCTTATTGAATTACCATGGGATTGTTTTACATTTAATTTCATTTAATTAAGAATTATGTATATACTGAATCAGAGATGAAGATGATTCACTGTAATGAAAAGTTGGAGTCTAGTTCAGCTTAATGTGCTTTTATTGAAAGTAATTGAAGAGTCTTGCTGTTTTGTCTAAGACGACATGACTTATTTATACAAATCATAAGACAGGGGAGGTAATCGGGTTTTCTTAACACATACTCCCTGGCATTGTTTTCTCCTAATCTGACACAAAATCATCCAGGTGACTGGGTCTCTTGACAGTTCTCTTTGATCGTCTTGGTGGCACCTGATCTTTCAGGTGTTATGGGAACAGTTGGCCACAAGTATTTCGTCTCATATTGTTTTTGTCTCCTTGGAGTGGGATACTCTGATTCTGAAATCTAATTATCAGAGTCTGTGGTCATAGGCTCTCATTTTGAGGAGCTATTCTGGTGTCAATCTCTGAATTGTCACTATAGGGGCCTTGTTCCTCAGAAGAATCCAACGGCATTGTGTCATTGTTACTATTGAGAGGGAGAAATATTGTTTTAGGGAAGAGCTACTCCTCTCCCTGGTTTGATAACTCGCTGACAGGGGCCAAATATCTGAGGGAAACATTCAATCTCCCGTCAGGTGCTGGATGTGCGCATAGAGTGGGTTCACCTCAAGCAGTTCCACCTTACTCACAGGAGAATCATACTTGCTTTGTTGAACATGGTTTCTAAGCAAAACAATACCTGACTGTGAGAGCCATGAAGGGGGCCGGGTAGATCCTGGCTGAACTTTGCCATGGAAATTTTAGAAACATTTTGTGAGGTGTTGCATTAGTTCTTGTGCACAATAGTGTTCTTGACACAGCAGTTATAGTGTGGTCAGAAGTGTTGGTCTCTACTTTTAGGGAAATGTCAGGATTCACTGAAGTGATGGCTGAGTTGGCATTATCTCTTTTTTTAACTCCTCCTCAAAGGCAGAAGAAGGTAAAGGAAATTTTGTAGTATTTGTAAGTCGGTGTATTTTTTCATTAAGAATAATAAGCGAACATATCCATGGTTCATTGCAAGGCAGCTATCGTGTTGGGAATAGCTAGTTTTAGCAGTGGTTTTAGCCCTTCTTAGGGTCCGGATTTATAATTCCTTTACCCAAAATATATCCTAGTAATCTGATGGTTGTCGACCCATAAGAACTCTTGTTATGGTTGAGTGTAAGATTATATTTCTTGACAGCCGCCAAAAACAGTTTTAGTTTGCGATTATGGTTGGCCCAGTCATGGCCACACACTGTAACATTATCTATGCAGGCAAAGGTGCCTTGTAGCTTTTCTTAAAGAATTATTTTATCGAGGACCCACTGAAAACTGGAAATCCTATTAGTGACCTCAAACGGAATCTGTTGGAACTGATAAAGTCATCCACAGGCTTCAAAAGCCATATAAGGCTTATCTTTAGGGTCTATAGCTACTTGGTGGTAAGCACTCCTTAGGTTTAATGTGCTAAATATTCTGTATTTGGTGATCTCATTTATCATCTCAGCAATACGATGTTTTGATCCAGGAGGGTGTACCTATTTATAGTTTAGAAGTAGTCTATGACCATCCTGTTTTTATTATTATCAGAGGACATTGTTAATATTTGTTCCCACCATGGTGATCTGCTTACTTCAAATATTCTTGTTATTTCTGCTTGAATAAATGTTTTGTCTTCAAGAGAATATTTTTGAGATTTGGTGGTCACTGGTTTACAGTTTTTGAAAATACAGGGGTATTGTACATTTATAGCAGCCAAGCTACAGATGTTCAGCACCAGTTTAGCGGCCCCCAAATGGGAGATTAATATTAGAGTGCTGTTTGAGGAAATCATGGCCCAGTATGACATCTCAGCACAGATCTGGCATCACAAAAAATTTGGTATTAGTGTAGTTAGTTTGATTCAACTCTAGGCTGGCCAAAATATATCCTCTAACCTGTGAAGATAGTGAAGTATTCGCCATAACCACCTGACTATTACAATGTACGATTTTAAATCGTTTCCTTTTTGCAATATCAATGCTAATAAAATGCTTTGAGCTTCCTGTGTTGACTAAAGCATTCATTTCTACCCTGTTTATTTTTACCATTAATATAGCCTTTGAAAGACATTTAGGGTTTGCAGTTGATACAATACTAGTTGGAATAGGAGCATTCAAACCAGGCGAAAAAAAGCTTAATTGACAAACCTTAGAGAAATGTCACTTCTTTCCACACTTGTGGCATTTTTTTCCCTGGTTGGGAAACATGACCTGGGGTGTAGTTTGAGACCACAAAAATAACATTTTCATCTTGCTACAGCACTAGCAGTATGGGCAGTGTTTTCCAGCGAGAGAAGACTGGCGGAATGGTGGGAGCAGAAATGAGGAAGTCTGTTGTAGAGAACTGCCTTTTTTTTCCCTGTTTAGGTCTGATGAACTAGTAGGAGTATGAGTACATAGTGCTGCCTCTGCAACACTTGTTTGTAGGTATGAACAAGATTGCTTTTCTGCCATCTCCAAGGTAAGTGCCTGCTTGTGAGCAGTAGCTAAATCTAGTTGTTTATTTTTCAGGAATCTTTGAAGGATATAGTTCGATTCTAATCCATTTATAAAGGAGTCTCTGATAAATTTGTACTTTGGTTGATCTGCTGTTGTCACTTGAAAATTGCAGTCTCGACAAGATTTTTAAGCGCTGAAGATACTGTTTTAACCCCCTCCTCAGGGAATTGGTGGGTAGTTGCTAATACATGCCAGGCAAAGATTATGTTTCATTTCTTCACAAAAATTTCATCCAAAACATCCATGGCACTCTGGTAAGTTTTACAGTGAGAAATATTGGTCTTTACGGATATGGAAACATGGTGCATTAGCAGGTTAAGCCTATCCATATCAGTAATAGGAGTGGATGAACTTTTTTCCAGTGCAAGCAAGAATCCTTTCAATAATTGTTTCCAATATTGCCTGGCATCAATAGAAGATGATTAAAACTTCCATTTGTTGTTGTAAAATATATTCACAACAATTTTTCCTGCAATGTGAATTTCTTTTTCAGTGGGTTGTTTACAAATAAAAACATTTTGGAGAATAAGTTTCCAAAATTCTTTCAGCAGACTTTCTTGTAGTAATATTTATTCTGTATTTTACAACAGAAATGTGGCACAAGGCCGAAATAGGGGAATGGGGAGAGGACGGTCTTCTTCTGTCTTAGTTTTAACTTAGCTAGCCGCAGACACTGACCCAATCGTACGGATAATATTCCTTACACCAAAAGACTTTCTTGTAGTGGATTCATTATGTTTTACAATAAATTTCAATTATTTCAAGTATAGCAAAACAAGCACAAACAAACTTTGCCATTTGGCTAGATGGAACTGTATTATGTCCTTGAGAAAGTAAGCCAAAGTACTGCTTCTTTGTATCATCATCACTATCATTGTCTACCATGACCAGGGAAAACATTTCATATTGAAAACGTTTAATTAATTTTTTGGAATTTTCTCTAATAAAAGATGTTAATGGAAATTTCTCCAGAAGTAATTTGTAGGCTTGTTGATATGTATAGCACTGTGCTATAGTATAGTAAGGTATAATGTATTAGTTCTGCAGAAAATGAAGGACAACCTCTTGGTTGGTAATGTTGTCTTTTTAGTAATTCTTTCATGGTTGTTCTTCCACCATGTTTTGTATGTAGTTTAGAAAATTTTCTAGCATGATAATCTTGTGAGTTTAGCATTATGTCCATGTATAAAGCACTGTAATAATGGTATAGAGGTTCCATCGTACTGGAGCTGGACATGAAGGTCAATGTAAATACATTCTTTTATAGATGGAAAATTTGTTTCAGGGTCAAAAACTATTCTATAAATTAGAATATAATCTTTTTTTTTAAATTCAAAACCATTAAGACAATACTTTGCTTCTTCCAATTTAGTAAAATCCTTTATTGTATCAGCTGAAATAAAATCATGTAATTCATCAGTTTGAACCAGTCGTTGGTTTGGAGGCTTTCTGAATTCCCTTGTATTTGGCAAAAGAGACGGTTTTCTAATTTTTTTTTAATGTATTGTAGGTATTGAATGTAAATCCCCTTCAGTTTGTTTTGTTTTCCTTTCAAAATAAATTTCTCTTCAAAATGTTTCATACAGTAAACTGAATTTACCTAATAGCATTCATTTGCAAAACGGGCCGTTTCCACAATTGAAAATCACAAAAGCGAGGTAACTCACAGCCATTTATAATTTGGGGATTATAAAAAAAACAAAAAAAAAACAAAAAGGTGTTGGAAACATGTCTGGGGAATTTAAATGTCTGATAAATTCTATGTAATTGTACATTGTTAATTTATATTCTAAGAATTCAATTTTTAAAGTTACCTCCCTTTTAGATTAGCAATTTTCTAAGCAGCTATTCATTTTTTTTTGTTTACATTACATTGGCCTGTTAACATTCAGCTTATGTGACATGTGTGGCCGTATAATACTAGTTGACCATGGTAATACTAATATTATTATTATTATTTATAGTTTCTCTATTTCATGAAAGCATGCACTTTATGCTTATCAACTTAAAATTTATTGAATTGCTACATTATATTTTATTAGATTTTTCATTGTCCAAGCTCACAAATATATTAAGAGAAAAAATGAATTGACATTCATCAAAACTATTTTGTCTTGGAATATTTCATATTACCTTCTCTTAGCAAATATAATGCAAACAAATAAGATTTCACAACAAAATATTAGATTTTTTTTATAAAAGACATGGAAAGTGTATAATAAATTTATTCATTTAAATATATTATCTTAAATATTTTGTTTATAATCTTTAAAAATTGTGCCTGTTATTCACTACAGCAAGCCTAATATTATTTCATATCATCACACATCCAATTTGTAGCTGTTTTTCTGTG